GCCTTCCGTGTATTGCACGTGTACTTCATACAGGAGCTTAACAAACTACGGACTCCAATCTGATCCTTCTCTGTGCTCCTTTTGCTTTCTTTTCTTCGCACATGATCCTTAACAGGCTCCATTCATAAATCTTTCGTCTTCAATAAAGATTGTACTAGATAGATCCGTAAGTCAAATTTAGGTGTCAATCAAGATGTTGCTGCAGAAGGGTCCCAGGTGCCAGGATAAATCTGTACCAGATAAATTCAGCACATGTTTGGTAACTCGTAACTTTCACAGAACATGCTTGGTAACTCACTCATACGAATCTCAATGACATGCCAGAACAGTTTTATGTTCCAATAAATTACTACACCCCACCACCAAATTCAGAAATTAGTATAAGTTATGTTCTTGTTTTAAGTTTTAACATACCCAAGTTACTCTCTTGCTCAATATCTACTCTCCAGCTCAATATCCACATCTTTTTTGGTTATACTCCCCTCCGTCCCAAATTATAAGCCACTCTAACTTTCTTATAGAGTCAAAACATCTCAAGTTTGACCAAATTTATATAATAAAATAATAACATTTAATTCTTCATTAATTATATTTTTCGTAGTATACCTATTTGTTATCATAAATCTTTGTAATTCTCTCTGTAATTTTGATCGAACTAAGATGCATTGACTCTTCAAGAAAGTTGGAATGACTTATAATTTGGAGGTCGGAACGGAGGAAGTATACATTCTTATAAGCCAATCTATAACACTCTCCTCTCACTCAAATAGCTCACACAATACCGATCAAACAAAATAGCTCATACAATACACATTCTTCAAAGATAATTTTTCAAAGATGTCCAGCAAAACAGAGACAGCAGGGGCACTAGTAGAACTCTGATCTCACCTGAGGCAACTTTTCTATGTCAGAAACCAACACTAGTGACTTACATGCATTTCTACCTGTTCAACTATCCATGTATACTCTCCAATTGCTCAACTATATACAAGAGTTTGGACCATTTATTTGTACCGAGAGGGCGAGATAGAAAAAATGAATCAAAACTAAATAGTGTGAACTACCATGACCGGTGGGTAGACTCCAAGTCTCAACCGGTGGTCACATGACATAACTCCAGTTGGGCCATCTTGTACTCTACACACAAGATATTTTACACTGCTTCAACATTAAACCTGAGAAGAGGACCCTACAGGTTTTATGACCATTATTATATGTTATATGTCCTTCATAGACAATGGCAAGATGGAAAATTCCTAACATGTTGAAGCACAATTTTATAAGGCATTTCCTATATAAAGCCAGCCATGCACTGCAGAATCATATCACACACAGCAAAGCCTCAAAACGTGATCAGAGCAAAGAAAAAGAAAGGTGAGAGTGGGAGAAAAGAGATATAGCCCATAGAACATGGCTCTTATAGCCGATGAACTCAAGACCAAGGCTGAGGTCTACTACGGCGACGAGATCTGCCAACTGTGTACCCAGCTCTTGCTCAGGGAAGCAGGCCTCCCCAATGGTCTGCTTCCATTGAAGGACCTAATTGAGTGTGGTTATGTCCAGGAAACTGGATATGTGTGGCTCAAGCAAAGCAAGAGGGTTGACCACACCTTCCAGAGTCTAGGAAGGCTGGTCTCTTATGGCACAGAGATCACCGGCTATGCTGAGAAGGGCAGGATCAAGAAGGTAAAAGGGATAAAGACCAGGGAGCTCATGGTGTGGGTCCCAGTGGAGGAGATTGCTCTTGATGATCCAGCAACTGGGAAGCTTATCTGCAAGAGCATTGCTGGGATTACCAAAACCTTCCCTGCATCAGCTTTCCATGTCCCAGTGAAGGAGAATGTGAAGATGAACTGTGCTGCACCGAAACCAGTGGTCCTCATGGAGAGAGCTCCACGAGTTGTTAAAAACAACTGAGCCTTCTGCATCCACCACTGGTATTTGGATTTAACGGTCATCATCAGCCCTTAATCCTACATATTTAAATAATGATTGAACTAGTGCTTTATTGTCTGTCTATGTACTTCGAAAGTGATAACCCAAAGTTCTTCCTATATACTGCAGTTGTATGATTGCCCTGGCATCTAATGTCCTGTAAGGCAACCTCCGAACTTCCTTTCATGTACTATGTAGCTCTATATTACTAATATGAAGCATGTTGTGGACTTCTATGAGATGTTTCCTTTTTTCTCTTTGCAGAGAAAATATCACCGCATGATTACTTTTCCATGTACTATACGAATAAAATAACACCTTTGGAGATATACCTCTATATTACTAATATCTTTTCAGAGAAAATACCATTACATGATGCTTTCCTGTCATATTTTTCATCATATTTTCAGACGACACAATACTATGAAGTGTTATGTATTTTTTATTTTCCATCTTTACTTCACAAAAAAAAGACATGAAAAGGCATGTGAATAAGAAGGAACAAAAAGTCTAATCTATAAAAGGGAAAATAATATTTGCATGACTTGTAATTATGATCTATAAATGGTCTTTGCAACCATTTGTTGTTGTTGCAATAATAGACTTTAGCAGGTGCACAAGTGGAAGATGAAAGTTTTACCCACGAGATTAAAATACGAGACAGTCAAGGTTAGCTAGCTATACAAACCATCAAGTAAGGTGGTAGGGACCATTTTCCTGTTTATAGAATCAGGATCCTAGGACGTTTTCCTGTTTATAGAATCAAGATCCTAGGACTGTATCATCAGACCATGGGATGATCAACAAAATCATGATTATTCAAAGTACAATTCGTTGGCTTCTATATTATGAGGTTTTCCCACTACAAAATGTCATTTTTGGATACATGCAAGTTTGCCTTCCGAAATACTTTTATAATACTAATGACTTACTATGATTTAAAGATGTACTAAATATAGATGCTGCATTTTGGAGCCCATGCTGATGCCCAAAAACCAAATGATATGCTTTTATGGATTGAGGGAGCGAGATCAAACTAGGGTTAGGATCAAAGTGGTCCAATAGACAGTAGGGCTGTGAGACCATACCACAAAAATCAAGACCGAACAACCTTGATGACAAGGAAACTCAATATATGTTATTGCTAAGACTCGGTATAAGATTGTTTAGCACCAAGAGATCAATGATTAACATGTCCAGTAGTTCAGCTTCAAAAGGATGTACTCCCTTCGTCTACGTTCCCGTGGAGAGACTAGGAATATGTGAAATTACCAATATACCCCTGTCTGTGATCAACCACCCTGCACCAGATTCAGGCCCATTCATGTCAAAGCCGGCCAGTGGTACTCAGCCACCACGGGTGGTGCGTGGCATGGGCGAGCTCGGCCCCCTCCGCCAGAAGCTTGTGCAAGCAGCCTTCCAGCGGCGCGGGGGGTTGGGGCGGTGGAGCCTGAGGAGGATCGCACGGGGGGAGAAGACCAGAGGATTCGTGGATAGGAACTAGCTCGAAGGAATCTTTTTTTTTTTTTTTTGAGGAAAAACAGGAGGGTGCAAGCCCCTACTGTGCTTTTATTAATGAAAGAAAGTGTTTACAACAGGCATTACGAGACAAAAAAAAGTTACAAAGAAAATCATAGCCCGAAGGAATCTTTACTATATTTTTTCCAAAAAAAAATCTTTTACTACGGATCCCACTGAAATTGCATCCTTTTACACGGACGGAGGGGGTAGTTACAGCAGAGTGCATGACCAACCCTATCAGTTGATATCAGGATATGCACATACCACAAATGTAGTTGTCCTGTACTATGTAATGTAGCCTACATACAGAAGTTAGTGGACTGGTTCCTTCATAGAAGACATACACGGCCTTTAGAGAAGTTCCCAAAAGTCAGGTAAGGACCAGAACTGTTACAATAAGATATGGCGGTACTAAATTTTGAGGACGGGAGGAGCACTTGAAACCATGAGCTTGTAGAGGATAGATCTGCATTGATCGCACCGAATTCTTAAAATTGGCCAACACTGTTAGGCATAATCGCTTTGTGCATCAAAGTACTATGAAACCAGACCATCTCCCATCCTACACCCACCCCGTTAAGGACGAATTCAATTACAGAACCAAATAGCCCTGCATGCATGGCTACATGTGTCAACTTCACTTAACGAGAATAATTGGCTATCATTGTACCTTCTGCTGACAGGTTTTATCTCAATTTTACTCAAAACCTTCGCACCCCAGTTAAATCATTTGTATGCCACTCACCTCATAATGGCATTGGTAAATATCCTAACTGTGACCAAGCCAGCTTACTTTATGATAAAATTTCATTTCTTTATGGAGACTATGGTCAATGATATATAATGGATAATAAAAATTATAAATGTGGGAAGATAACTCATGCATGACTGATGCATGGTGGATATACTTATACAGGGGATTACTTGGAAAAATAGTGTCAGAGTTAGTTTGAAACTCCTATAATGATAGTACGTCTGATCATGTGATGGATGCAGGGATTTAGACCAGAAATAGCAGCCATTAACTCACATGACTTGAATGTGTATATTCACAAAGACGTTAATGAATCACAGAGGATTAGACAACAATGTCTTTGTTGCCCACATGGTCAGTCAGACATTTCTCCATAAGGCATCTTCCATTAAGAAGTGCAAGACATGGGTCTTAGCAGATGTAGATATTTTGAGTTGGTAAAACAAAATTTAGTAGGATATGGGTCCACATGATGCTAAAACAGCCAAATCTTCAGTCAAATGAAGAATTTAACATGCAAATAATTCCAGAGGAGATAATAATAAAATAAAAGAAAGGTATATATAAGATACTTACTGCCATGATAAATAGTGCACATTGCAATTTATCCACAAAAAAGAGAAACTTCTGCTTCACAGAACTTTTTATTTACTTTATCTAGAGGACAAATCATGCTACTTACCTACAGAAACAAGAGCAAGCAATTTTAGATAGATGATATATGGTGAAAGGGAAAAATCAAAAATCAGATTCTGAAATTCTCTCGACTCACCAACTAGAGTAACAAGCATCAGGGAGAAATAGCATAAGAAATATCCTCATACTCAATGTAATGAATCTTCTTCTTGCGCAAAATTGGTGAAAAAATGGATCTTATAAAGTGACTGAAAGGATCCTGCAAGCCTTCCATTTCATAATGACCAAATCGCCAATCCCGCAATATGAATGATCTCTGGATAGGCCGATCTAAACCCCCTGAAGAACAAAAGGCTCATTTTTCTTAGGTGGAGACAGCAACCACAGTTTATACCAACTAAAATTTCTATTTCAGCTAGGTTTTTTGTCTCTCTATATGCCCTTTGGTAATTATGTAACTCAACTGTATCAAAAAAAATTATGTAACTCAACTGAAGGAGTTGTGGTATGAATTCAATATAAGAAAAACTAACATGGAGCGACACTCTTTCGACTCCAAGAAGCCTGAAGGCAGTAGCCATTGGCATATTTTACAATATGTCAATAGTTTTTGTTTATCCTACTTATCAAGTTGTTTTAAGAGAAACAAGCCATTACCCATGAATAATGTCAATTTAATAATATAACAGAATGTTTCGGGAAGAATCAGCACATACCTGCATACATCCGACCATGTTTATCTACAGCCCTGAAAAATGGGCGTGTTTTCTTCTGAAATGCTGCTTGTTGCAGCTCCCTCCAAGCACCCAGCCTGTCCTGTCTTGTAATTTTCCCAGTTCTAACAACCTGAAGTTCAAGTGCATTTTGTTAAGATCATCAGAGAAACACCAAATGCTCATACGGAAAAAAAAAAAAGAGAGAAAATTAAATTATCACAAGTCTGCACAATTTATGCAAAACAAGGGACCCAAGAAACAAAATGCACAAACATTACAAATTTGTTTTATACTTTTATGGACAATGTGTACACAGGATACTGTATAATAATTTGCTGAGATCAGGGATAACCTTGGAGAATAAATAGTATGAAGGCCTAGGTTTCCGTGCTAGGTTATTAGCACGACCAACAGCTACAAGCCCAAACTTGGGACCATAGCCATCTGCCCATTCCCAATTATCTGACATCGTCCAGAATAGATAACCAAGCACAGGCACACCCTTCAAAACAATGTCTATCAGTGCTGGAAGTTACAGATACATGACAGTAAGGAATGTTTCATTACAAATTAATTTAAGACCGACCATAATGATTGCAGCATAAATGGCTAACAGGTGCTCCAGAATATATGGTTTCCGAATCAGATCAGTCTCGTCAGAAACTCCATTTTCAGTAATTATAAAAGGTATATTCAAGCTCTTGTATCGTTCATTAAACTGAATCAGGATACTGAAACAGCCCATCAGGATAAACACCACGACCAGATTCACTGTACTAATCATTGTCCACAAGCTTTAGACCAGGGCCTGATATCACCTCCTGCATGAAAATGGAGTAATCAACTCCTGTTGTTTACATGTTCAGATCATTTATCTAAGCAGCTAGTATTTAATTTACCTGCCCATAGTAGTTGATGCCAATAAAATCCAATTTATCACATATGCTATCAATGTAAGGGAAAAGGGTCAATGAATTAGCCAGTGTGACAGCAGCAACATCAAATAGACCATAGGGCCGTGTAAACGATATACATGATGAGCGACACCAACGATTGGCTTCCTTTTACTTTTGCTGTAAACACCACCAAAGAGTTCAACTCAGAATTGTGGAAATTCATGAGAAATTGCATTTCAAGTAACATATTATATACCTTTCTGAATGTATGTTTTTTTTTAACGCACTTTCTGAATGTATGTAGTCATAGGCTTCTGCATGTGCAATGGCCATCCAATGTAATGCTTGGTTATATACACCAGTCGGTAAAGCAGATGTTGCTACTTCAATTGCATTAGGGTCTCCACCAGGCCAAGCACCAGCACAATAGGTCAGCATTACAAACACATGAGGTTCATTAAAAACCACCCAGTAGTCCACCAAATCAGATACACGATCAACAACAAGCCTGCACAGCCAAAACTAACTTTATTTGAACAGATTCATGTAATGGAAGAGTACTGACAGCCAGTTTTGACTGCTAGAAAGGATTACCGCACAAAATCCATAAAGTACTTCACGGTTTTTTTCCATCCTCCACCCCCCATACTCTCCAGCCCAAGGTGGAAGTGAGTGGTGAAATAGCGTAAGCATCACTTTCATTCCATATTCATGAAGCCTTTGAATGATCCATCTATACCGCTCAAGTGCTGCGAAATTGACCTAGAAAAGGTGATGGCTGTCTTATTCCACCATTGCAGAGAGTACAACACACTACACAGAGAAGAAAGAGTATAGGTGTTCAGAGAAAGCACATGAAGTGCAGACTAGGTTCCTAAGACTTACTGAACTCTTCAACTCTTCAGTTGGTTCCTTAGGCATTACCCTTGTCCAATCAATCCCCAGGCGGAAAACACTGATCCCAGTTTCCTTAGCAAGTTTCAACTCAGTATCGGGATCAGACCAAAATTTAAGCCTTTCTTGCCTGAACAAATCGGTACAGTTTGCCCACATGTGAGAGTCCATTGTGTGTAAGCAACACATTATGCACAATACTGTTCAGGAAAAAAGACAGCATCTAGAATATTAGCACATAACGAAAAAGTTGGAAGTGAGAAAAGACAAAATGCACTTACGGGCAAGGAACATTGTGCCAAGCTGCGACGTTGTGGCTGCAATTATCGCCAGAACCAGATTCACCACCCTCGACAAACATTTCAAACCCCCTGAGCATCGCCTCCATGGCAACCTTAAGAGGCTTCCTCTTCTCTCCATCGCCAGCCTTTTCGTCCCCTCTAGACCTAGAAGCCAACTGAGCGCCTCCGTCCCCTGCAGCCGATGCCATCACCGCGTCTGCTGTCTTATGGTCACACATGGCCTCCTTGTCATCGCAGGAATGCTCGACTGCAAACTGAAGCCAAGCATCTTCCAACCTGTCCTCGACATGCGCCAGCGCGGTCGCTAGCCCAAAGAAGAAATTGCCATCTTCTGCGAAGAACCAGACACACCATCAGGACTTCCATGTCGCTTGGAATTGACTGCTTTCCAATAATCAGGTATCTATTAACTGCTTCACAATAATCAGGTGTCTATAGGTCGGAATTTCAAATCTATGAAGCAAATACTCTGACTTGTGCAGACTAACAATGATGTACTGATTAAAATTGAATCTGATGCAGGGATACAGTACTCTGCACCCACAATTTCACATCAAACCTCCATGTTTTAGTTAGTTTCTTTGATTCTTTGATTAATTCACATCATCAGTTATCAATTACTCGTCTTAGATTAGAAAACGTAACCAATTCCACAACAAATTACCATATATACTGTATAAACGAGTCAGTTGTGTTGCCTGAAAACCAAAACTGACAACCGCAGAACAGCACCAATGCGGCCGTTCAGAACGATACCCAGAACCATTGGACCCAAGCAGTCGAAACAAGTACAAGGCGGATATAGGGTTCGAGAGGGGGGAGAGGGGAGCAGGACCTGCGGCCTCCTCGGCGGCGGGGGCGGCGGCGGAGTTGGAGGGGAGGGCGCGGAAGTCGGCGATGGGGTCGGCGGACTCGTCGATGGGGTTGGGGATGTGGCGGAGGTGCCGGCGCCGGTACCGCGCGAAGGAGGCCGCGTTGGCCGCCGTCACGGCAGCGGCCACCAGGACGGCGAGCCTCGCCGCCGCCGCCAGGAACGCCGGGAGCGGCATTTCCGCAACAGTCATCATCACTGCTCACGTCCTCTCCCCGATCCCGTGCTTCCTGCTTCAGTCATCTCTCCTTCTTCATCTGCTCCCTTGCCTTCTTGTCCCGCTCAGCCACGAAGCGATTCGCCGCCGCCACGGCCTTGTCCTTTGGCAGCAGAACCGGACTATCTTTGAAGACTAGCCCCCCCGGCTGGTCCCAACGTCGCAAAAGCAAGTATCAAAAAAAATGGAGATTCAGGAAAAAGAAAGAGCACGGGAGAAGAAGGCTTATGAATTCGAAGAACCCAGGTTCCGGCCGCATTGGGGATGTTCGGGCACCGGATACACAATGTCGAGGACGCCGCCTTTGGAATCCTTCGTCGGCTCCGTTGCCACCTTAATGCGCTGCGCCACTTGCGAGAAAGGGAGCGCCTCGTCAACAAGCACCGTCCCCTCGAACGATATCTCGGGCATCATCCGGTGTAGGGGAGCGCGTCGCATCATCGCGCAGCCGCCACCCTCCTCGCATGATAGGCATCGATAATTCCCGTCCCTTTACGCCTGCCCTTCGTAGCTTGGAGGGCGAAAAGAAGGTCGGAAAGGTGTTTCTTGTCTTTGGACTGGATGCCCCAAGCCCACGACTCCAGAGCCTCTTTGATAAGGCACCCGGGGTACCTCGGCAGGGTGGCACTCGCATCATCCCTGATATAAAACCACTGCGAGTGCCATCCCTTGTTAGACGTCACCAGATGCATGAACGGGTAACCCCTCGACCGGGTATGGCGCAGATGAATACTGGCGCATCCCATCGGCACGCTCACATCCTTCCCCCCAATCTTCCTCTTCGACAAACTGATGGTAAAGAAATACCGCCACAGATCAAAATGGGGATCGATCCCTAGGAAACCCTCACACAGGGCAACAAACGCCGCCATATGTTGAACCCTGTTGGGAGTAAGATGCTGCAGCTCCACCTCATAGTAATCCAACAGCCCCCGAAGGAATCTATGCGCGGGTACCGCAAATCCCCGCTCATGAAAGATGGCGAAAGATACGACATACCCTTCGGGCGGCGCTTGCTCACCCTCGTCACCAGGTATCAGCCACTCCTGGACGGCGGACAATGGATGGAGAAGGCCACGGCGGACGAGGCCCTCCAAACGCCGAGAGGTGATGCTAGATCTGCCCCACAACTCCATTAAAGCGATTGGGGAGAAGGTGGGCACAAGATCGACGGCGGCTACAGGACAGGCGCAAGCTTGATGGTAGCTGCAACATGGATGCAAGCCGATCGACGGTGGTGGTGCGAGCGCAGGAGGCTGGGGCGATTGGCGATGGATGTCTCAGACGCAAAGGCAAGGGGGCGAAATACGGAACCTTGGGGGCAAACCCCGTGGTTTTATAGGGGCGACGGGCGCGAGAAGGGCAACTGTCCGCCTCGATCTCCGGGCCTGCCACGCGCACCGCCGCGTCACGTCACGGGACACGCGCCCGTAGTCCCTATCCTTTCCCACCGAAAATCACGATGGACGGTTCGCCTTCCCCAAGCGAATCCGGACTCTCTTCCCACCTGGGGAAGGCAGGTCACAAAGATTTTTTCTATTTGGCCCACCTAGGGCCCAGAAGCTTGGCGGCCGGCCCAACTGAGGACGGGTCCACGAACGATCCGAAATCAAGGGCGCAAGCATTACTGGGGTCTCAATCCACGGTCAAACCCCAGTTAGGTCAGCCCTGAATGAGATCCCCGCGAACAGGATACCACGACCCCCTCGAAAAAATATCCATTTGACGAAAAACTAAGTCCTTCAGCCTTACCCGCGAAGGGTCCGATACAACCCCCCAGGCGGTTCTATCTGAATCACCTGGAGGCTCGGGGGCTACGCCCATAGGGTGCGCTCGCGCGCATCCTCTGGCAAAATGACTCCAACGAAATCGAAAACACCCTCTAGGCGGTTCTATCCGAATCACCTGGAGGCTCGGGGGCTACTGTCGGGGACCTAATACCAGGGTACCCCAGAAGGTGGAACCAATAACCATCGAACGTTAAAAAACTTCAGGACGGACAAGGGCGCCACTGCGTTCCTTGCCCGAATGACAAAAGTTAGGTTCCGTCTCGCCCAATGCCTTTGGGCCAGCCCGCCTCGCCCGAGGCAAAGGGCTGGCCTCCGCCCGCCCGACACCTTCGGGACAGCTCCCGCCTGCCCGAGGGGCTGAAGGCTAGTCTCCGCCTCGCCCGAGGGTTGAGGGATACACCGCCTCGCCCGACCCCGAGGGGGGGCTCAGTCACACCGAGGGCAAAGGGCTAGCCTCCGCCCGCCCGACGCCTTGGGACAGCTCCGCCGCCTCCCGAGGGGCTGAAGGCTAGTCTCCGCCTCGTCCCAGGGTTGAGGGATACACTCCGCCTCGCCCGACCCGAGGGGTGGGCTCTGGTCACGCCTGGGGATAAGGACTGGCTCACGCCTGGATGACCAAGGATGAACCTCACCCCATTCGATGTCCAAAGACTGGTTTCATCTTACTCGATAACTTCTCTCCCGTTCCCTCATGATGATGGGTACAGAGCAAGACAAGACATTTGGGTCAACCACGGCTTCAAGGACCATACCTCTCGCTACTGGCATGAAAGGTACTTGCCAGGGAATGATTGGACAGGTGCTTTAAACCCTTCCGAGCGCCACAGAGCCCAAAAGGTATTGCAGGTGCATACTCCTCGCCCTGTAGAGTTGTAGGCGCCGCCTTCAGCTCTAGGACACGGAACCCGATGAAGATACACGACAACCACTACACTCTATAAAAGGATTTGTGATCTCCACGAATGATGGACATGCCGTCACCATGTTATGGACCCAAGGGAGCGGCGCCCGCTTCCTGACCCCTCGGGTCCACCAAATCAAAGGACCTTGCCCACAGTGCTACTCCAGACCTCAACTCTGTGTCCCTCCGACAGAGACTCATAGGAGCCAGAAGGCGTGCTGAGCAAGGTTGGGCGAGGTTCATAAGTCAAAACCACGGTACTACAGCCCATACCCTGCATAGGGCACTATTCTGTAACCATCCTGACATTCTACAGAGGCATCGACAGTATTGTAGGCGCTTATCATCCTTTCACACCCATCAGAATGGGTAACGAGGCTGGGTAGACGTGAGCCACAAGGCTAGGTAGAGCACGCATCCTAAGCCCTGACCCTTGTAAAGTCGTCCCCTTCATCTATAAAAGGGGATGCGCTTCCTCCAGCAAAGAGGGGACGAAAAACAACGCAACACGCACACATAGTCAAGCTGCTACCAAGCTCTTGGTTTCCTTTCGACCCTTCCATCAGAGACTGAGGACATGTCCCTCTCTCGATCGTTTGTATCCCCTACTACGAACCATTCACGGTGCTAATAACACGAGTTGCAACAAACTGGACGTAGGGATATTCGGCCCGAACCAGTATAAATATTGTGTCCTTTGGCGCACCATCCAAGCCTAATGCGCATTACTATAAATTTACTTGCCAGTGCTTGTACGAAACACCGACACTTTGGTTCTTTGCTTGCAGATCATATATCCACTCGTCTGGTAACTGGATTTTCTCATTGTCATCTTGTAGCATCAAGGAACTTTCATCATCTAGAACTTCATCATCAGCTTCCTCCACTTCTAATTCCATGGCTCCAAGCATATTTGCACAATCATTTGCTATGGCATCCTACTGAGTTGGGAAACTATCATCCTCAAACAACATCGATGTTTTGGCCAATTTGCCACCCGTAGAAGAGCTATCACCTCCCTGTGGTTTATCTGACGGTTCAGGTAACTCCCTCTCTTGTGGTTCATGGTCCTTGTCCTTCTTTGGGTCATCATCATTCTCTTTGGGATTGTCATTAGGATCATCATCATCCAATAAGTGATCTTCCTCTAATTCCTCAACACCTCCAGAATCACCGTCAGTTGAATTATCAGCTTGGACATATCCCTCAAGATTGAACGAGATTTTGTACACCCTAGCCTTGAACACATGGCACAACGGCCAGATGATGTTACTTGGGCCCCTTTTTGGCCTGAAGCAAGGCATGAGTTGTGTTTGTATATACGACTTTAAATGAACTTTGGGAATTGATCTATTCTCAAAAAAAAACTTCGCGATTTGATCTTAAAAAGATTAGGGATACATTTTGTCCATGCCAAAATTACTTTTAGACATTTAAGTAATGATTACTTGTATAAAACAAATTGCTTGTTCTACATGATTTTTTTCATCCCTTTGCTATTCAGTCAATATATAAACTTCCAACTCCTCCTTGTTTTGATGTTTTTAGAAGCTCATCCTTTTTTTGTTTGGTTTGTGAAATAGAATGTGTTGGTCCATGGGTACCTCATTCCCTACTAGTGGATAATTAGTACTAGTACGTGGCATATGGTCATTCCACCAAATCTAGATAATGGATTCATGATGCACCACCTTATCTACAACCACTAATATAGAGACGGGCTTTACTCCCGGTGGGGAACCCCCTCTAGTCCCGGTTCCCCACCCGGGAGCAAGCATCCGGGACTAAAGGGGGTCCTTTAGTCCCGGGTGGGGTCCTTTAGTCCCGGTGGGTAACACCAACCGGGACTAAAGGTCCTCCCAGCTTTAAAAAAAATAATGCCTCCCACCGCTGCGTCCCGTGAGATTCGAACCCAAGACCTCACGCATTGCCTCGCGTGTAGCTTACCACCCCACCTACACAACACATCTAACAATAGATGGGATGCTTCCCTTTTGAACTAACCCACATCGGGGACCTTTAGTCCAGGTTGGTGTTACCAACCGACTAAAGGTTGAAGGACTTTAGTCCTGGTTGGTGGCTCAACCGAGAGTAAGGTCCACCTTTAGTCTGGTTGGTGTCTCCAACCGGGACTAAAGGTCCCCGCCTAACTCTGCATCAAGGCCGCAGATGGCAGGGGGATTTTAGTCCCGGTTGGAGACACCAACCGACTAGTAGTCTCTAGTCCCGGACGTAAAAATGTCGGGACTAGAGCTCATTTTGGCTTCGAT